CAGGCACCTGCTCACTGTTTGTTGAAGGGACGAGTAGGGGAATGAAAGCACACAAAGGCCAGTGCATCAGTTTGAATGCCACCTTGGATGCCCCTTAGACAATGACCATAATTAACCTCATTCTCTTTCCCTCAATATTTCCTCTTTTCCTCGTATATCCTGTAAAGAGGGTGATACCTTCTTTCCTCCTGCTGAATAGTATTCCATCATGTAAATGTACCATAGTTTTTTGATCCACTCATTTACTGATGGGCACTTAGGTGGCAGGAAAATGGAGACAACTGTACTTGAATAACAATTTTTTTAAGATTTTATTTATTTCGTTTAGAAAGGGAAGGGAGGGAGAAAGAGACAGAGAGAAAAACATCAGTGTGTGGTTGCTGGGGGTCATGGCCTGCAACCCAGGCATGTACCCTGACTGGGAATCGAACCTGTGACACTTTGGTTCGCAGCCCACGTTCAATCCACTGAGCTACGCTAGCCAGGGCTTATAACAATTTTAAAAATGCAAAAAAAAAAAAAAAGAGCAAGATACCAATATCCACCCAGTAATTGAAACCGGAGCTGGAACACTGTGCCTCTTCTTCCTTCCCCCAGCAGCTTATCAGTCAGCAAGTCCTTGCTGCTTCTACCTCATAAATGCGGCTGGAATCTTGTCCCCTTCTGTCCGTCCCAGATGCTACTGCCTTAGTCAAGGCCACCACCATCTGTTTCCTTATTATAACAGCTGACTCCCCTGACACCAGTCCCACCATCACTCATGCCCACAAATCTATTCTCATCAGTTCTTTCTACAGCCACGCCTAATCGTGTCCGTCCTTGGCTTAGAAAACATTCAGAGCTTCTCGGCACTGGTAGGAAGCCCACATCCCGCACGTGGCTCACAAAGCCCTTGGACCTGGCACCCTGCCCAGGAGTCTGCCTTACCTTGTACCTTGCCCTCCCTTAAAGCTTACAACCCAGACACACCTTTTGTTTTCATTTTCTCTCATGCCATACTTTATCCCACCTCCAAGCTTTTACATCTTTCTTTCCTCTGCCTAGGTCCATTCCCCACCTGCACCCCTCCTTCAGTCCACCTCTGTGAGGACATCTTCCCAAACCCCCCTGTCTGGCTTCAGACCCTCCTATGTCTTCCTGTAACTCCCTGAAAGACCCCTAATAGAGCCCTTTACCGTATGCCTTCAGTGCTGCTCCAGCAACTCCGTCCCCCCTAGACTGTCCACTCCAAGAGGGCAGGACTCTTGCTGGCACTAGTGGGTGCTTGGTAAGTGTTTGTTGAAAGGTCAAGTACAAGGCTGAAAGCACACAGGTTTTAGTACTTGGACTTCGAGACAGTGTTCCTGCTCCTTATCAGAGGCATAGTTTCACTTCCTACTGGGTTTTGACTGATAAGCAAAGCGTAACCCTGTGCCTTGGGATGCACCAAGGACAACCTGGCTTTGGACTCTGACAGTCTAATATAGAGTCATGGCCCTGACAATGAGGGGAATCCCTTGTTCTGGGTCCTGGGGTTGTTCACAGTGATGAGCAGAGAGGGTGGCTACTTTTCTGTAGTCTCCCTGCCTTGTGCTTTGCAGCTACCACTTCGTCCCCAGTGGTCCCTCTAAGTTTCCTTCTTCAGAGTCATCATTCAGAAAAGGCCCCCTTTGCCTGCAGTGCAGAGAGCTGGAGCCAGAAGGTCTGGGCCTTCCCCTGATTATAACCCGGGGCAATCTCCCAAGGCCTCTGACTCCTCATTTCCCCATCTGTAAAATGAGAAATAACAAACCTAGTCCACAGGGTTTTCATTGTCACAAGTGAGCATTTAAAACGTGGTTGCTGTTATTATTACTGTGGAGTAATGTCACATGTGTCCACAGCACGTGTTCTTTATCTGCTCATCCACAACGAGCACTTACGTTGTTTCCGTGGCTCAGCTGTGGTAAACAATGCCACGGTGAGCGTGGGGGTGCAAGTATCTTTTCAAGTCAGTGTTTTCATTTCTTTCAGATAAACATCCAGACGTGAAATTGCTGGATCACACAGTAGCTCTATTTTTAAGTTTTTAAGGAACCTCCACACTGTTTTCCAAAGTCCCTCACCATTTTACATTCCCACCAACAGTACACAAGGGTTCCTTTTTCTCCACATCTTCAACAACACTTATTATTTCTTGTCTTTTTGATAATAGTCATTCTAATAGATGTGAGGCGATAGCTCACTGTGGTTTTGACTTGCATTTCCCTAATGGTTAGTGATGATGAGCACATGTTCATGTGCCTATTGTTTATCTGCATGTCTTCTTTGAGAAAATGTCTATTGAGAACCTTTTTTCCTTTTTTAATTAGATTGTCAGCTTTTTTTGCTATCGAGTTGTACAAGTTCTTTGGATATTAACCCTTGTCAGACACGATTTACAAATATCTTCTCCCACTTGGTAGGTTGTCTTTTCATTGTATCAATGATTTCTCTGGCTGCGCAGAAGCTTTTCGGTGTGATGTCATTTTATTTATTTATTTTTGCTTTTTGTTTTTAGTTTCAAAACAAAAACTTTAGTTTGTACTTACTTTGCCTTTGCTTCTAGTATCAAATCCAAAAAAATCATCGCCAGGACTGATGTCAAAAGAACTTACTCCCCACCCATGTTTTTTTCTAGGTGTTTTATGGTTTTAAATCTTACATTCAAATCTTTAATCCATTTGAGTCAGTGTTTGTGTGTAGTATAAGGTAATAGTCTAGTGTCATGTTTTGCACATGGCTGTTTTCTCAACACCATTTATTGAAGAGACTCTTCTTTCCCCGTGGTATAGTCTTGGCTCCTTTGTTGGAAATTAGTTTACCGTGTATGTGTGGGTTTATTTCTGGACTCTTTTCCTGTTCTACTGACTCCGGTGTGTCCATTTTTCTGCAGTACTATACTGTTTGGGTTATTAAAGCTTTGTAATATAGTTTGAAATGAGAAAGCATGATGCCTCCAACTTTGTTCTTCTTTCTCAAAATTCCTAGGCTATTGGACTTGATTTGTGCCTCACTCATGGTAGTACAAGGTGTAAAATGCAGAGTGAGGCTCACTCATAATTTGGCAGCTCAGTTTTTATGTGTGAATATTTGGGGCATGGATAAAGAAGGGATGAAGCATAATAGGGTGATCAGGACTCCAGGCCTAGGGTGGTTCCATCCACTGAAGGATGATGGCAGACAGGCTCCATGACATTGATCACTTGACCCTAGTCAGCAAGTAGGAGACAGGTGCAGGGGGATTGGTAGTCCCCAAAGATCTACTCACTGGTTTCACTGGAACCTTGTGCTCTTGTTTTTATTTTGTTTGTTTGTTCATTTTGTTTATCCTCACCTGATATGTTTATTGATTTTATTGAGGGGGGGGAATGTTTATTGATTTTAGAGAGAGGGGAACATCAATGTGAAAGAGGAACATCAACTAGTTGCCTCCTGTATGCACCCCAATGGAGCACATACCCACAGCCTAGGTGTGTGCCCTGACTGGGGATCAGACCCAAAAGCTTTTGGTGTACAGGACGATGCCCAGCCACTGAGCCACCTGGCCAGGGCGAACCTTATGCTCTTGTCCGTGCCCAACACGTGAATGCCATTGTCTCTTTGCTCGTGCTGAGCCTTCCCCAATAACACCTTCCTAATCCCAGTTTCCGCCCTCTTTCTCCATGAGTGTCCAAACCCTAGAATCACCAGAGCACAAAGGTCAATTAACCCTAGAATCACCGGAGCACAAAGGTCAATTAACCCTAGAATCACCGGAGCACAAAGTTCAATTAATCCTCATTGTCTTCAAGCAATAGGGTGACCAGCCATACCAATTTGTTAAGGGATTTCTCAGAATATGGCACTTTCATTGCTGAAACCGGGATGGTTGGTCACCGTAATAGGCAGACAAGTGAGGCATCTTTTACAGCTCACTCCAGGTGCCTTCTTTTCCAGGAAGTCTTGCCTGGCCTTAGCTAGGGGCAATCTTTCTGCCCATTGAGCATCTTCTAGAACATCGTTTGTGCCTGCGCATGCCTGAGCTCCACGTTTATCCCTACTCCAGGATTTGAATGTGTGAGGCAAGAGTTTGAGGACATCTTGTTGTTTTGTGTCCTGTATGCGCCAGGTGAGGGTTAGAGTGGGGGCGGCAGCAAGCTGGGGGACCTACCTGGGCTCTGCCACTCAGCCGCTCTCCGCAGCCGTAGAGTGCATTTCTGCAGAGTGGCTCACATATCACTCTTTGAAACATTTAATTACACATAAAGATCTTGAAGGCTATCTGTCCCCTCCCAAGGAAACATTTCTTTTTCCTGTTCCTTCTGAAGTTGGCTGCTTGAAAAGTAATGAAATTGAACTGAAGATGAAGCAACCAGGGGTGTAGGCATCGATGAAAGGGAAAAGCAGCAGGAGAGAGAGACAGGGAGGGTGACAAAATATGGAGCCCGGGGAGGGGCGGGGAGTTAGAAGACATGTTCATGGAGAGTGAGGTGCAAGAGGTGAGAAAACTAATGAGTGTGGGAAAGAGCGGGGAAGGGGCAGGAATGATGGAGAGATGGGGGCTGGGCTGGGCTGGGCTGGGCTGGGCTGGGCTGGGGAGGTACCACGAAGAGGAGAAGGGCCACAGAGAAGAGGTGTGGCAACCCTAAGAAGAAGGGCCTGGCAGAGCAGAACAGCCAACCAAGAGTTTAGCAAAGGCTGTGGGAGGTTTGCTGGTGGTTCCAGAATTTCAGCACAAGAGAGGGGTCTTCAGGAGGCATTGGTTGGAATGGAATGGCCCCAACTGGTAGATGCCTTAAAGAGACAAGCTTCTTATCTTGTGTGTTTGGTTGTTCTGATGGCTTGGGGAAGAGCTCATGGAGGTTTCAGGAGGCACCAAAGCTTCCACCCAGACACCCCTTGCTGCCTCCTATGGGGAAGTATGATGCAGACATGGAAGGCAGCTTGGGCTTAGATTCCCCATGCACATCCCAAGGAGAGCCCACAGGGTCCCTCAGCCCTGACCTGCTCTTCTCCTGCAGGCTGCGACAGTGACCACTGGGGACCCCATTGCAGCAACCGGTGCCAGTGCCAGAACGGTGCCCTGTGCAACCCCATCACCGGCGCCTGCGTGTGTGCTGCTGGCTTCCGAGGCTGGCGCTGCGAAGAGCTCTGTGCTCCCGGCACCCACGGCAAGGGCTGCCAGCTACCGTGCCAGTGCCACCACGGTGCCAGCTGCGACCCCCGCACTGGCGAGTGCCTCTGTGCACCCGGCTACACCGGTGTCTAGTGAGTAAAGTGGCTGCGGGGGCTTGGAAGGGGGGGCGGGTCCAGCTGACCTCTTGGCAGCTGCGTGGTCCCCACCTGCTCCTTGCAGGTGGCCAGGACAGTGGTAACAGATGGAAGGTCAGGATAGTCCTGGCTGTAAAATATACTCTCAGTTTTGCAGAGGCTAAATGCCCAGACCTTGCGCAGGTCCCGGGGTGACTGGTGCAAGCTGAGACTGTGCATGGATGGGCCCTCCCGTGGCCAGAGGGCTCATTAATCTCCTCCCAGGAGTCCCTTCCTGGTCAGGGCCCAGACCTTAGCATGTAATTCTCTTCTGATCACAACCCAAATGCCTCTGCTCACCTGGGCCCCGGCCCTTCCAGGCCATTTAAAACAAAGTATGGGGGTTGGGGGGCAAGCAGGGGTTTGCGGGGAGGAGAGCCCAGCCAGATGTCATGCACAGATTTGGGTTGTTTGTTCTGCCTGTCCCTCTCCCTCACCTCCTCTTCTCAGACCCCAAACAGCCCCTCACTCCGGTTCCCTGGAGAGTCCATGTTGGCAGCGGACCTCTAAGACTGCTTTGTTGAGACCCCCTGAGAGGCAAGATTGAAGTCCCCCTCCCCCACCAAACAGAAGGCTCAGTGGCTTCCCCAGCAGCCTCCCCAGCAGCCCCAGATCCTGGGAGGGCACCCAAGGACTCCAGCCACAGATACCTCCTCGACTGAGGGTGCTCCCTGCCCCCACATCTGGCCAGCTGCAGGGCTGGCTCCAGCTGGAAGCCAGGGCCATTGGACTAAGACCCAAGGCCAAGACACCATGCCCGTTCCTATATATGAGCCTGTCATGGCAACTGAGAGCCTTCCCAAGCCTTGGGGTGGGGAACTAATACCCCAGATCCTCCCTCTCTCTGAATTTAGGCAGATTCTTGAAGGCAGGATCCATGGCCACTTCTCAGAGTCCCTGCCCGTGCTATTCCTTCTGCCATGCCTTCCTTTCCTCCCATTCTCCTGGTCAGACTAACTTCCAGACTCCAGGGAAATGCCTGCTTCTCGGCGAAGCCTTCCTCAGCTCTCCCTCCCCAGAAACACACTTTCTTCACACCGAAAGCACTTCAGTCATTCCACAAGTACTGGCCCAAGCACATGTTCCAGTTCATTCTCCCTGAGCCCTGCTCCCCCAGCCCAGCAGGAAGCAGGGCTGCATCTCAGCTGACCTGGTGCCTGGCACAGTTCACACTGACTGTGAACTCACTAATTCCTTGGGAGCCCTGGAGCATTGCAACTGGCAGCACTGGGGCCCTGCCACCTGGTTCGAGTTCCACTACCTCTAACATCTCTGCTTCCCCACGCAGCTGCGAGGAGCTGTGCCCGCCTGGGAGCCATGGGGCTCACTGTGAGCTGCGCTGTCCCTGCCAGAACGGGGGCACCTGTCACCACATCACTGGCGAGTGTGCCTGCCCCCCAGGCTGGACGGTAGGTGGGCCTGGAGGATCTGGGTGGGGCACTGCAAGAGGTCTGAGCCTCACTCATTCACATGTACCCTGGAGAGCTAAATTCCTCTCCCACCCTGAGCTCCCTCCCTCCTGTTTATGGTCAGGGGCATCATTAGACATTGCCAGTGGTGCCATGGACACTTTGAATCCCAGGTCTGCCATCTAAGTGCTGTGCAACCTGAAGCAAGTTACTTAACCTCTCTGAGCCTGTGGTCCCTCATATACAAAGTTGTGGAATTCTTGTAGAATGGGCATAGGTACTTACTTAAGCTGCCATAAGCTCTGGGCCAGAAGTAGCAGAAAGGCCATGGAATAAGGAGGGGCGAGGTGGGGTGACAGCGGTGTATGGATCACCTGCATTTATAGAACTTCAGATTCCTAGCCTTCACCCCCTATATTCTGATTCTGTGGGCCCCAGAATCTGCATTTTACTTAACAAGTGTTCCCAGTGCTTCTGATGCAGCCTCAGCCAATCCAGATCTTGTGTCTGGGAACCACCCTTATGGGAAAGGGGGTGGGATTTATAACTTCACAGGCCTAGATTCAGGTCTCACATTCAGTGCTGACCCTGAAAAAAAAACCCTCAGTTACTCTGGTCTCTGCCTTCCCTTCTGCAAAACTGGCATAGCAACAGCCAGCCCTGCCCTTCCTAGCTGCTATGGTTGGCAGGAGGCTCAGGTGAGACAGAGCATGTCCAAAGTGCCTTGAAAACTCAAGTGCTCTGCTTGTTTGTGTTACCTGGATGCCACAGACAACCCAGGAGCCTCCTTTAGCCAACATGCCCCACCTGTCGGTGTCCCTCCCCACTGTCCCCAGACCCCAGCTCCGCAGAAGCAGTGAGTCACTAACTTTCCTGTCTGGGGGGAAGCTCAGTGACATAGCTGGCTGCCTCACCCTGGGGCCCAAGTTTCGAAAAGCTGAGGAGGACAGGCTGCTGAGAAGGAGCAAGATACTTGACAAGGCTGTGAACATCTCAGTCACGGGGGCAGACAGGAGGGACCTCCACAGGCCCATTGACATGGGCACAGACCTGCCAAAATTTTTTAGGACAGGAAAGGACCTGGGGGACCATCTGGTCCAGCAGCACCCAAACCTGGGTGCACACCAGAGTCACAGAAGCTGCAATTGAATGCAGATTCCCAGGCCCCGCCAGAGGCCTTCTGGGGCCCAGGGATCTCTATTTTTAATAAGCTCCCCAGATGATCCGGAGGCAGCCAGCTGTGTCTGCACGTCTGCATTTGGAAATAATTGATCGAGACCATAGGATTTCCTTCCGTGTTCCACTGAACCTGTTGGTTTCTCGGGGGTGATAATGGGAGCGGGAAGCCTAATAATTAAGACTCTGGCTCCCACACACTCCCTTTCTCCATTTTAATCCACACATACTTTGTCTACTGAGATTCTAGGTAAGATTTCACATAAAAACAGGGTCTCCCAGCTTCAAAAGGTTTGAACACCATCGGTCTGTTAATATCTTCTTTCTCAGAACTTCTTTCTGAAGTTCTTTCTAAGCTGAGGCTAAGTGACCTGCCTGCCCGAGGTCACACTGCTGGTTGAGCAGGAGGTGAAGCTAGAGTCCAGGTGTAATGACTCCTGAATCCCAACCCTTGCTGTCTGTCTGTCCATCTATCTGTCTCTTCTGAGGAGGACAAAGGGCTGCTGCCGCCACTACCGCACCTGCCTGCTCCTCCCACCTTGACCCAGGCTCTGGAAAGGCCCTCTCCTCTGCGGCCAGCTTCCAGAGCCCCGGCACCCTCCGGCTGGGGCGTTAGAGGCCCAGTGGCAGGCAGTGAGGCTGCATCAGGACCATCAGGTCAGGTCGTGGCAGGGAGAACAGGCCACAGGCGGGCCCTGTGCCTGTAGAGTCCCCTCTAGAGAGGGTGATGGATTGAAGTGGGGGAAGGGGGGACGCCAACACATGGAGACATTTGTTTTTCTCCCCAGCACAGTGAGAGGTTTGCTCCTCCAGAAGATAGGAAACTCTGTCGATAGAAGCTTTGGATTTGGGGACTTTATGTTTTTAATTTTATTGTAGACAACTGCATTTCTATTTTTGACACAGCATTTAACTTGCAGATTTGTATGAATTATTAAAACCCCTCCTGCATGCAGAGCCCCAGTATCCTGAAGCTGAAGTTCAGGCCTGAGGCCTCTTCCAAGGAAGGCTGGGGCCAAGGGGAGGATGCTGGGCAGAAAGGTCCTGCCTTTACCGTCCTCTGTGGCCTCACTTTCTTGTTGGCCCCAGGTGGCTTCAGCCACACTCAGAGGTCTAAAGACTGCAATTGCCAACCACACAGTGCAGCTCCACAAAGATTGGCAGCATCGTGCAGAGCTGGGAGGAGCCTCCAGGAACTCTGGTCCTCCTGGCCCCTCCTCAGACCCCTGGCCACCAGGCCCTGAATATGCCCACAGGACACTCCACTTGCCCAGCTCTGCTGAGCCCATTCCAGTGAGGGGTGGGGGGCTTTGCAGAAAGCCTGGGGAATTATTGCCTCTCTCTTTCTGGGCTCTCAGACCTTTCAGAGGAGAGGAACCAGGTGTGAGTAGCTTGATGCGAGCAGGCACTGCAGACGGCCACGGAGCGGGGAGGAGGTGTGATCACCCCCTTAGGAGTTCCCAGTCTGATGGTGGAGGCTGGATGCAGCATGTGCTACACACGTGCACAGATGCACACACACGAAAACAGTGGGCCTAACACACTCACACACATGAAAACAGCGGGTCTGAGGAGCGGAGAAACAGAATCAGGTGTCAGGGGGGCCAAAGAGGTGTTTAGATCTGAGGTTGGAGGGTCACAGAAGCTCAGGTTTGAGGAGGATGATTCATGAAGCTCCACGACCTGGCCTGTGGCCCGGATCGTTTCCGCAGCAGCCACACCACCCCACTGTTCGCTGTTCGCTAAGGGCATCTGTGCTGCCAGAGACCTCAGTGATAACCAGTAGTGCTTTTGGTGCTTGGAGAGAGGCTGAGCTGTCCCGTTGGCATGGCCTTCAGTCCTGTCAGCATCTTGGCCCCCAACTTTCTAATGTTCCATGTAGCCATGGTCTCTTAAAGTGAAGCTGGTCCCCAGAACAGTGGTGCCGATGAACAGGTCCAGCCAATCGGAGAGGAGCAGCACTGTTGCCTCACCTCATCTCCAGGCCCCTGGATGCCCCACAGCCCGAGCTCCCCCTACCGTTGGAGGCCCACAGGGCAGACATGTTAGGGCTGTCAGGGCACAGCAGTGCAGACAGAGAGGCCTAAGCAACAGAAATTTACTTCCACAGAGTTGTGGAGGCCGGAAGTCTGAGACCAAGGTGTTGGCAGGGTGGGTTCCTTCCGATGCTGCTCTCCTTGGCTTGTAGATGGCTGTCTTCACAGGGACTTCCCTCTGTCCCTGTGTCCTAATCTCCTCTTCCTATGAGGACATCAGTCATACTGGATTAGGGCCAACCCTAATGACCTCATTTTAACTTTATTACCTCTGTAAAGACCCTGTCTCCAAATACAGTCACACTCTGAGGTGCTGGGAGTTACGACACATGAACTTGGGGGAACACAGTTCAGCTCATCGAAGCAGGAGAGAAACCATAAGGCCCCAGCGCTCTCTTAAGCTGACACTTTCCTGCCTGCTCTCTCCCCAAAAGGCTGTTCTTCTTACCAGCGGTCATTGGCTGGTTACGTGGGTCTCTTCCAATCTTCTCAGTCCCGGGTTATGCTGGGCTCCTACTGCATGCCACCTCTTCAGATGTCTACTTCGGTGGAATTAACCTTAATTAAAGGCCTGCTCTTTAAGATACCATTCCTTCACATCTCTAATCTCACTTAATCTTTCCAAACACCTGGGAGACCTGGGGTTACCACTCCCATTTTATAGGCGAGGAAACCGAGACTCAGAACAATCATACAACTTGTCTTAGCGCAGCCATCTGAGAAGAGGTAGAACTGGGACTTGAACCCAAGTCCTGACTTTGAGTCCAGTGTTCTTTCTATCACACCAGGCAGCAGGCCTTTCAAGGTATTAAATTCTTTAAGGCCCCAGGAGCTCAAGCCTGAGGAGGAGCCTGGGGGTTTAGAGACCTGGATTGCCTGCAGTTGGGGAGCACCGAGAAGTGTCAAGAACGACTGATTTCCCCAGGGAATGTTGGAAGGAAGCATCCTGTGCACCCAACTTTCCTCCTGGTCTTCTTGAGGGGCTTGGTTGTGTGGAGGTGTGTGTGTAAGTACATGAGGGTCCCACAGTGCCCCATGATGGGGGGTAGGAGGTATAAGTGCAGCCCCCAAGAAGGCTCAAAATGGTTTTTTTTAGGGTCAGAGCTTCCTTGTCTACCCAGGACTGCAGAGGACTGACTCAGAGAATGGCCAGAAAGTCTCCTCTCTCCCCTCAAGAATCCCTAAGCTTGTGGGATGCCATGAGAAATGCAGGCCCCTGTAACAACCCCCAGGGGGAAGAGGGACCGCTCCTCTGAGTAGCTTTCCCCCGCCGCTGTCCTCACACACACGCTCATCTCGCTGTCCCTCCGCTCCCTCTCCCAGGCCCCCCTCAGATCCTCACCGTCTGACTTATGTAAGGAGCCGAAAGGCCTCCCACTTAATTCATTACAAGTAAATTGAATGATATTGAAAGATGTCTCTGGTCAGCAGATTTTCCTGACTAAACTAGCTTCCCCAGGCTTGGCAATTATTGGTGCTTAATAATTGTGTGTTGAACTAATTGATTAATTAATTGCGGGAGAATACTTGATCTCCATAAGGGATATAACTATCTATCCTTTGTGGGAGAGAGGCTGGAAGGGCAGCCAGAGACAAGAGCAGGTTATAATTTCTGTTTGCTAAAGATCTAAGATTTGTATTATAATTTTAAAAGTTATCTAATGCCACAAGGCTAATACTAGAAGGAGGGGAGATTCATCCCCTGCACCACTCATAAATCCCATTCCCAAAAGGCAACCCCATTCCAGTTTTTTAGTTTCTTCTAGCATTTTCCTCCATATTTTTTATAACATGCTTTACTGCCATTTCCTTTTTCCAATGTAGACATTTATCGAATCTATTGATTTCCTCCTAATGCAGAATAAAATTCGGCTCTAACACACACACAAGCAACCCTTCTCCCACCCTCTGAAAGGCATTGTTTTCCTTTCAGATGGAAACTAAAAGGAATTGTTTTACTACAATTTTTTATTTAATCACTTTTAATGTTTAGGTACATATGACCACACAGGTGCTGTTACTAATTTGCCCCTACAGCCCCCTGTGGAACTCTAAAACGTTCTCAATAAAGTCAGACACATCAGCAATCTCCTGACTTAGTTTTGGTTTCCGCCTTTTTCTGGCCGCCGCAGGCCCAGTGCCCCGCCCCGCCCCCCCCCCACCCCACCGTGCGTGCACGCTGCCCTTCCCACCGCAGGTTGTCATGCGGGCACACCCCTTCCCCACCACACTGGAGCTCCTTTCCCCCTCTTCTGTCGGAGTCCCTGTGTCCAGGAGCCCGCCGCTTTCTTGTTCTTGGATGATTCTTTTTTAGGGGGGAGGGAAAGCCTCCAGTAATTTCCAGAGAAAGTGTTCGTGCAAATTTAATTTTTTAAAGCTGTTGAAATCTGAAAATGTCTTCACTGAATCTCCCATCTGAGTGTTAATTTAGCTGAGTGTAGAATTCTAGGTTGGAAATTACTTTCCTCCAAATGTTGAAGGCATTGTTTCATTGTATACTAGTTTCCAGTTAGGATGTCTAATACATTTTTTTTTAAAGATTTTATTTATTTATTTTTAGAGAGGGGAAGGGAGGGAGAAAGGGAAAGAAACGTCAATGCGTGGTTGCCTCCTGAGCACCCCCTACTGGGGACCTGGCCTGCAACCCAGACCTGTGCCCTGACTGGGAAGTGAACTGGCCACCCTTTGGTTCTTAGGCTGGCAATCAATCCACTGAGCCACACCAGCAGGGCAAGAAGTCTAATATACTTTGGATGTCTGTTCTTTGGTGTGTGACTTTATCCATAGAAATGTAAAATTTTACAGTGATAGATCTAATGCCAATCTCCTTTCACTCTTTGTATCGGATACTCTAGGCACTTTCAATTCAGAAATCAATGCTTTCTACCCTTCTATTCTGGGAAACTTTCTTGTTTTATATTTCCCATTTAATTCACTCACCTCCATTTTTCAGTTCTGTTGTCTGGAAACCCTGTGAATTAGATGTCAGAACTCCTGGACTGATCCTGGAATTTTATTATATTCTCATTCTCTATCTCTGTCTCTCCCCCTGTCCCCACTCCCCCTTCTGCTTTGTAGGAGATTTCTACCTTTATCTTCCAGCTCTTATACTGCAGTTTTTAAAAAGTTCTGTTATCTTGTTTTCACTTGTTAACAACTCCTTACTGTTCTTTGGATATCCTATTTTAGCCCTCTGTTTTTTCATGGATACAAATATCTTCATATAACTGCATAAGGATATTCACTTTCACCATAACAGAGGCTTTTTCTTCTGTTTTCTTTGCTCCCTGCATTGTTCCTTTCATCTATGTGTCTGCTTTGGTCTCCTGCCAAGTTCGAGCCTTCTTGTTAGAAGTCTTCTAATGAGTCTTCTCTGTGTTAGAATCTTTTTTCATGTGAGAGTCTCATTTTGAATATCTGGTGCTTCTTGGCCACCTGTTCATATTTCACCATAAGCCTCAGAAAAGCTGGTTTGGAGCCTGGGGGTAGGTTTGTCGACTGACGGAATCCTCAAATATCAGTATAGGTCTTTCCTCTTGAGCTCTCGGTGTCCCTGGAAAGGAATCCTCCAGAATGCTGCCCCAGGAAGTGTGGCCCAGGAAGCTGCATCGAGGAGCTGCATGGGAAAGAGAGCAGGGGGTCTGGTCATTGAGCAGGCAGAGTTCCGCAGGATCTCCATTTCCCACGGAACCCCCACCCTCAGCTCGGTGTCCCCGTGTCCAAAGCCCGTGTGGGTCAACCTCTCTAAACTGCCAGTCTTGGGAAACCATCCAGCTATGTAAAAAGAGGGCAAAAATCTGGAGTCTAATTCCCTGTGTGATAAGTTTTCAAATAGTTCTCTGTTTCATCTGCACCTTGGGCTTCCAAGGTTCCTGGCGTCTCTGATTTCTGAGCTTTTCTGAGGCTACAAGGCAATCTGATGTCTTCCCACACTCCCTTTGCAGGCACAGCATTGCTGAGAAAGCAGAAACCTCACAGTTAGTTCCCCATCTCTCATCCCTTATGGTCTCCTCTCCTATACCTTTTGTCCTTGTAGTTTTATACCCCTCTCCTTCACTTTCATGTTAGCTGGGTTTGGGAAATAAGTGGAGATAAATGTATGTTTCCAGACACCATGTTTAACCACAGTCTCTGTTTTCCCTCAGCACTGTATTGTACACCAGTGCGAGGGCACTCAGCACCTGGTGCTTAAATTACCTGTTTTCTTGTCTCCTTAATAGACTGGGAGGACAGGAATCAAGTCTTATTCATATTTTTATACACTTAGTGTCTAATAGAGTACCTGGAATGCAACAGGCACCCAATAAATGTGTCCTGAATAATTGGATAAACAAGTTGGCCTTAGTCTCTGCATCTCTAAAATGGGGCATTAGAGTCACGATGTCTGACTTTCTAGGCTTCTGTGATTAAGGAGAAAGTCCCACTGAGGAACAGAGTGGTCCCTTATACAGAAGCAGCTGTGCCACTTCAAGGAGAAAGTGGCTTTAGGATTGCATCTGGATACCCCACCTATGTATGTCTTTCCTCCTGTGTTTCAGGGAGCAGTGTGTGCCCAGCCCTGCCCACCAGGGACATTTGGTCAGAACTGCAGCCAGGACTGTCCTTGCCACCACGGAGGGCAGTGTGACCACGTGACTGGGCAGTGTCATTGCACAGCAGGATACATGGGGGACAGGTAAGGGTGATGTTAACTATTGTCCTTGCTGTTCATATTGCTCATTTGCACAGTCGCCTTGCAGAGAGCAGCTGAGGTTTACTGGCCCACAGCATTCTCTGGCCAGCTCTCCTGTTCCTTCCTCAGAAAGCATTCTGAGTCCTGCCAGGGAGATTCACCAACTCATCCTTCCTCACCCTTGGACTGCTGCGTGTACCCCCGCCCCCAACCCTGTGACCTGAGCCCTGAACTTGCATTGGCTCACCTGGGGAAAGAGGTGAGCACCTACCATCCACTCTCTACCCTCTGCCCTCCTGCAAGGAGGCAGTGGCACCTAAATCCAGAGAAGCCAAGAGTGCCAGCTCAGTTCACACATTTTGCACCATTCTTCCAGAAGTGGATTTTTTTTCCTGATGTGGGCTCCACCAAAGGGATACTGACATCAGCTTACAGCCTATGAAGGCCTTTGGTCTGAAGGCAGACTGAACAAGGACACCAGTGTCCTGAGATTAAACCAGCCTTGCAGAGTGGATACCATGAAACACGTAACTAAGGAGTGACTGTGTGGGCACATTTGCCATCACAGGAAGGGTGCGTGATGATAGGGTAGGTGCTGTGGGGGAATGAGAAACAACAACCAGTGTGTCTGGTGGTGAGTGAACTCAGAGCTGGAAGAGGACATTTGCCCACAAGACCAGGGCGAAGCCTCCCCCCTCACACTGTGAACCACATGTTCCTTTGTGAGCAGAGAGAGGAGCAGTCTAGAGGCGGCTCTCACACCCCATGCCTGGTTCTGTGGGATCCATGATCCATCTCTGGCCCTGGATTTGGTTACTCTGCCCAGACAAGGTGGGGTGAGAGGAACGTTTGTTTGCCATTCCTCTGTCTCCCTTGTCCAGGTAACATTAGGAAATAGAGATTGGTGCCGGATCAACCAATGAGCCCTCCTGCCTCTGACTGACATAACTGGACCCCTCCAACTCACACTGGAGTCTGCCCAAAATCCGTATTGATGTCCAGGAAAGAGCTTTTCTACTGTTAGCCATGGGGTTGCTTTCCCCTAGCCTGAAATCTTCAAGCCAGAACTGATCTCTTTGTGAGCCAGGATCCATGTCCATGAGTTTGGGGTGTATGAACTATAGATCACAGGGTGTAGCATCTGAGGATCCATCCCTCCTTGATCTCTGCCACAGAGACAGGGTCTCTAGGGGAAGCAGGGGAGGAAGAACTGAAGCGCTGAGCCCACCTTCCCATCTCACTATCTCTCCAATAAGGAAATGCTCAGGATGAGTCAGGAGTGACAGGGGATGGAACCAGGACAGGAGCCCTTTGTTTCAGGTCGCTGCTCTGTGAGAGGGAATATCACCCATTTGTTGGAGAGGAGCAGGCCCACAGCTCCAACTGGCTGGATTCAACACCAGCAGGTCCCGCCTCACTGGCATTCTTGATTTTTTCTTTTTTCTTTTTTAAATGTTGATTTTATTTTTAATGATATTTTATTGATTGTGCTATTACAGTTGTCCTGATTTTTCCCCTTTTGACCTCCTCCACCTAGCACACCCCACTCCCTCAGGCAATCCCCACACCATTGTTCATGTCCATGACTCATGCATGTAAGTTCTACAGCTACTCTATTTCCTATACTGTACTCTACATCCCCATGGCTATTCTGTAACTACCTATTTGTACCTCTTAATCCCTTCACCTCTTCACCCATTCTCCCCCTCCCCCCTCCCATATGGCAACCATCAAAATGCTCTCTGTATCCATGATTCTGTCTCTGTTCTTGTTTGCTTAGTTTGGTTTTTAGATTCAATTGTTGATAGATATGTATTTTTTGTGATTTGATTGCTCACAGTTTTTATCTTCTTTTTCTTAAATAAGGCCCTTTAACATTTCATATAATAATGGTTTGTTAATGATGAACTTCTCTAGTTTTTTTCTTGTTTGGGATGCTCTTTATCTACCCTTTGATTCTAAATGATACCTTTTCTGGGTAGAGTAATCTTGGGTGTAGGTTCCCAGTATTTCATGGCTTTCAGTATTTCTTGCCAAACCCTTCTAGCCTGCAAAGTTTCTTTTGAGAAATCAGCTGACAGTCTTACAGGAACTCCTCTGTAGGTAACTAACTGCTTTTCTCTTGCTGCTTTTTAGATTCTCTCTTTATCTTTAAACTTTGGCATTTTGATGATGATGTGTCTTGGGGTGGTCCTCTTTGCATCCATCTTGTTTGGGTTTCTCTGTGCTTCTTGGACTTGCAAGTCTATTTCTTTCACCAAATTAGGGCAGTGTTTCTTTCATTATTTTTTCAAATAGATTTCCAATTTCTTGCTTTTTTTTTCTTCTCCTTCTGGCACCCCTATGATGTGAATGTTGGATTGCTTAAAGTTGTCCCACAGGCTGCTTACACTATCCTTGCTTTTTTGGATTCTCTTTTCTTCCTGTTGTTCTGATTGGTTGTTTTTTGCTTCCTTATGTTCTAAATCATTGATTTGATTCTCTTTTCATCCACTCTGCTGTTATTTCCCTGTAAATTGTTCTTTGTTTTAATTATTATATCCTTTATTCCTGACTGGATCTTTTTTATGCTGCTGAGTCCTCACTAAGTTCCTTGAGCATCCTGATAACCAGTGTTTTGAACTCTGCATCTAATAGATCGCTTATCTCCATTTCATTTAGTTCTTGTTCTGGAGTTTTGATTTTTCTTTCATTTGGGCTATGTTTCTTTGTCTCCTCATTTTGGCAGCCTCCCTGTTTCTGTTTCTATGTATTAGGTAGAGCTGCTTTGACTCCATATCTTGGTAGTGTGGCCTAATGTAGTAGGTGTCCTGTAGGGTCCAGTAGCACAGCCTCCCCTATCACCCAAGCTGAGTATTTGAGATGGGCCTTTCTTGTGGGCTGAGTATACCATCCTCTTGTAGTTGAGCCTTGGTTGCTTTTGGTACATCAATGGGAGGGGTTTACCCAGGCTGTTCAGCTGCAAGGACTGGCCATGACCACTGAACACCACCCTATGCCCTCCGTGGAGGATCAGCTGTGCAGGGGCAGATGGTGGTACCTTTGACATGGTCTCTAGCTGTTCACTGGGTATGCTAGCCTTGGAGTTTCCCAGGTTGTGCAGGCCAAGGTCAGCCCCCACCTGTGTTTTGCCCAGGGCCACCCTACAGCTATAAAGCAATCTGAGATGGCTGCTACTTGTGCTGGGCTTAGAGGTTCCAGGTGAAGCCAAGCTGTGAATCTAGGCTGGCTGCTTCTAGTGCTGAGCCTAGGGCTCACTGAATCCAGCTGTTGCTTGTTTGAGAGGATTTAGGAAGTTGTGCAGCATGAGCCATGACCTGCCATTCATATGGAAAACAGCTTGGGTGGGCCTTTAAGTTGGGTAGGGCAGGGTCTCTGGGGATCTCCAAGGTGGGTCAAACAGTGTTAGCCAGTTTGATGGAGTCTCAGATATGGCACCAGCTTGCCAGTTTTGTGGGGGAGGGTTTAGAAAAAGGACAATGGCCTCTTCTTGCCTTGATGTCAGACACTTCGGTTTCTCCCTGTATTGCATTGGTGCATTTCAAGCTGCTACCCTGGTGCTGGAGCTCAGAGGGAGTGAGTCTGAGTATCATGTGAGTCCGTATATGGGTTCTTTAAGAGGAACTGCTTGGGGCTCTAGCAGTTTCTTCTACCAACTCAATTCCCACTGGTTTTTGCAGCTAGAAGTTGTGGGAGCTTACCTTCCTGGCACTGGAATCCTGGGCTGGGGGGCCTGGAGATCCCAAGATATCTCTCCCGAATTTTTATTCACCACACATGGCTGAGGAACCTGCCCATTCCTCATCTGCACCCCTCCCACAAGTCTGGATGGATGTAGTTTCTTTAATTCCGTAATTGTCAGACTTTCATTCAACTCAATTTCTAATAGTTCTGAGTGATCATTGTTCTATATTTTAGTTGTAATTTTTATGTGGTTGTGTGAAGAGGTGAGCCATTTCTGCCTGTGCCTCCATCTTGACAGGAATCCTTCAATGCCAGAATGTCCCAAATGGAAAAGTAATCCTATCCCTTCTTCCTGGTGGTGCCTAGCCCATGATCTTGGAGCAGAGAGAAATCCCAAAAGCCTCCAGGTCCTCTAGCAAGCTTTGGCAATCAAGCTACGGAGAAGAATTCAATAGAAGGGCGGGGTAACATTTGGGTTTCCCACCTAAAAGGGCTGCCTGGTGTTTAATACTTTGTGAAATTGCCTCCATGAATTTTGTAGGTGACAGCTGCATTAACCCACCCCAAATCATCACGAGCATATTAAAGTTGAGTGGGTGTAATAATGCAGGCCTCCCTGGATAGGCAGAATCCAGTGCAAATTAAACATGAAATGTAACGAGGGCTTTGCAGCTCATTTTGTAATTTAATTGAGCAATGTATCTGGTTGTTAATGGCAATATCAGAGACATTAGATTGATATGTTGCAAAGGAAGGATGTTTAAGTAGAAAACTAATTCTTGCTGTGATTACCCTTCTGTTCCACAGGCCCTGTTATTAGTGTGCTTTGTGTAAAATTCATTAGCAGTCGTTGCTTGATCTCTAAATAAATAAGTTATTTAAATTGTGAGTAGGAAAAAAAAAGAGGCTGATTATGTAAATGGATTAGGTTGTCAATATTTTATTTCCGATTCTTTTTCTCGGGCTGTGGAGTCAGTCACTTCATGAATATGACAGGGTGGGGAAGTGCCCTTCAGAGAAAGCTCGCCGTCCAGGGGTCTGCCCTGTCCTGCTGGATGGGATGGAGCAGGAATGTTCCAGAGGAAGGGAAGAGGAGGCAGGAGGTGTCTCCTGGCTGGGGTTCCTTCCCCTGATGTCTGAGACATCTGAGGGGAGCCACGCTCAGTGACTCCTGGGAAGATCCGTTCTGAGGCTGAACAGGGGCTGGCAGTTCAGATAGTGATATTTCTCAGCTCTCCAGTGCTCTGTGTCCTCCTCCTTGCCTCCTGCATCCAGCCTCCCTGCTTCCTCCCTGTCTTCCACCTTCCATTTCTTCTCCAGATATCTCCTCTTTCTTCCTCTTCCTCTCTCTCTTTTCCGTTCTCTTTCCCTTCATGAGGCCTCAGACTGGATAAATGCAGCAAGATTTCAAGGAAGGTGATGTGGGGTCATCTCAGCCACTTGCTGGCTTTATGAGGTTGGAACAGTCGTCTCACTTGTCCGTGTCTCGGGCTCCTGAACTCCAAAGTGAGGGTGATGGGAACATCTGCTGTGTTGGGGGCCTGGGGACAGGCTTTGGGGCCCAAGTGGCTGGAAGCCCCTCTCTGTGTGGTGGCTGGGGCTGTAGTCACCCCTGTTGCCCCTTCCATTCTGCCAGAGTCCTCCTTGCCCCGCAGTGGCTCGGAGACCTGAGCATGGGTAGCAGCTTCCTATGAGGCAAGTCCCAAAGGCTTAACCCCAGTTCCCATGCCCTCTCCCTGCCACTGCGGACTCAGGCAACAAGAAGGGAAGACAGACAGAGACACCCCAATTCGAAGTTGCCAAGACTTGTGCCCAGCACACTGCCCGCTCCCTCTCCCAGCCACTTGCCGGCTGGTACACTCACCTCACTGGGGTCTGGCCACTTACCCTCACGACAGGCAACCGAGGTCACCCACACACGGGTCTCCCAGCCCTGTTGTGGAGAACACTGGCTCCAACCCAAGACTCTCCAAGATAAACAAACTAGGGCTGTATTTTTTTTAAATCTTTTATTTCTACCCTCCCTCGCCGCACCACCTCCCCCCACCCTACCCATTATTGTAGAAAGCCTGGGAAGTGGGGAAATGTGACAGTTAAAGCATTTCTCATCCCCTAAGTCCACTCCGTGGTTAACATTCCAAAATATTAACCACAGAGTGGACTTTGAGCTTTCCTTTGAGCTTTTTTTACACCAGAATCTGAGGCAGAAAGTCAGATGGGCTTTGTTATGAGAAGTACAAAAAAAGGAAACAATATTTACAAGAGTAATAATAATAAGTAACATTTCTCACTGAGCCCTTACTGCGCATGGGACACCTTTGTAAATGTTTACACACATTATCTCCTGTAATCCCCAAACAGCCTGGTGCGGCTGAGTTCTTATCTCACATGTTATGATGCGGAAGCCGAGGTCAGAGCAGTAGGATCTCTGTTCTCGCACACGGGAGCAGTGCTGGACAGGGGTCACTCACACCCCAGAGGCTATTTCTGCTTGTCCCTGGGTCGTAGGAGTCCACTGCCTCTTTTACTCCCCAGGTTCCCCCTAACTTGTCAAGGTCCAGGTGCCGTGACAATGATTTTCCATCTCGTGGGAAATAGCCCTGGGGTGGGGTAAGGCGTGCTGGCCAGTCCAGGAAGTGAGGCAGTCAGCAGCAGGGGTCACACCTTCCCATGGAGGACCCACGACCCATGGCTCTGAGTCTGAGTCAAATGATTGCCATGACACCGGAGCCACATGTACCAGGCCTGAGCAGATGCAGGACACAAAGAGGGACTGGTCCTTTTTTAGGGAGTGGGGGTATTCACCAGCTGATGGGAGAGGCTCAGCCCCTGCCTTGGGGGACCTCCAGTCCAAGGAAGAGGAATTCTCCACTCCGGTGGAGGACACAGGGGAATCCCTGGTCTGATGACAGAGGATGCCTCTGGTACCCACGGGGTAACCACACCGGCAGTGTGAGAGCCAGAGACTCTGCACCTGCCCCAAAGACTCAGAAACAACAGTGACAGTGACTAGAAATGAAACGACCCCATTTCATCAAATCCCAGATGCCACCGATTGTTAAGATGCATTATTATCTTACATTCTGCTAAGAATGAAAAACACTGGTAATTACACTATGACACACCATCAGTTATAAGATTTAACTGATTTCAGAGAAGACGTTAAAAAATATCTTTAAGAGATAAGGGTCAGCGTTTAATGGATACAGAAGTTTCGCTCCGGGAGGAGGACACTGCTGCAGAGGTGGGTGGTGGAGATGGCTGCGCGACAACGCGAATGTACTTACTGCCACTGAACTGCAAACTTAAAATGGTTAAAACAGTAAATTTCATGTTACATATATTTTACTGCCACCGAAAATGAAAACAATAGGCCTATGGTTAATGAAATATGACAGTGCAGGCTCAGTGCTGGGGACACAGGGGGCCCGGCATGAACAGGGAAACGGACTGGGGTGACTGTGCCCCTGAATACTTTCTGGACGAGAGGGAAAAGTGGGGGGAGGCTGTCAGGAGTGCAGTGCGCCAGGCACAGGCCTGGAGGCCGGGGTGCCTGCGGGGTGGACCTGGAAGGGCAGGAGAGGGGCACGGCCTCAGCCCTGTCTGACTCCCCGACAGGTGCCAAGAGGAATGCCCCTTCGGGACCTTCGGCTTCCAGTGCTCTCAGCGCTGTGACTGCCACAATGGGGGCCAGTGTTCGCCCACCACCGGTGCCTGCCAGTGTGAGCCTGGCTACCAAGGCCCTCGCTGCCAGGAGCGGCTGTGCCCCGAGGGCCTGCACGGCCCGGGCTGCTCCTTGCCCTGCCCCTGCGACGCCGACAACACCATCAGGTACGAACTGGGAGTGGAGTGGGGTAGGGTAGGGTGGGGTGGGGTGGGGCGGGCCCTGGTGGAGAGAGGGCTTCTCCAGACACAGACCCCTACCTCCAGCCCAATCATCCAGGCAGGACAGTGAAAGAGCAGGGACCTCCGCAACCATCTTTGCTGACCACTTTGATGAAAAGAAGGGAAAGCCCCAGGCCACACAGACAGTTGGGAGCAGGACCCAGGTCATCTGCCTCTGTCCACCATACTCAGCTGTCAGCATTGCCAAAGGGCTAGCCTGAAACCCCAACACTCTGGAGCAAGAAGGGAGCCTGGTGGCCTTCAGGGGAGTGGGCCGGGGGTGGGTAAGTCACACAGTCCTGGGAGGCCAGGAGGGCTGGCTCCGGATGCCAGAGGCTCTGGGGGCATTGTCCTGGAGAACGTCTCACCTCTACATGCTCTGCATTTAGCCAAGTGTTCCCCCAACCCCGAGGGGCCCACAGACAGGACTGCTAGGGCAGAAGCAGGAACCACCCAGGGCCCGTACTCGAAGGGACCTTAAAAATCAGTGTGGCATCCCTTGGGCCTGGAGAGGGATATCCCCACAGGTCTGAGCTAGGGTGGAGGAACAGGAGGGAAGAGGGCAGGCCCTTCCTTAGGACCTTGGCTTGGAGCCAGCATCTACCTGCAACCTGTGTCCTTTGGGACTCGGAGACACCTGGCCAGAAGCTGGCTCCACCCCTGCTTCCAGAGGAGCCTGAATTTGGGAAGCCACCTCTCCCAGCTCCCTTCACTTCCTGCTTTGCACCCTCTGGAAATAAATGAGCTGATGCCCCAGACAAATGCCCCTGCAGCCCTTTTTGTTTGTGGCTGCCTTTATCTGGGTGATAAAGGGTGGGGAGAGTCTTCCTTCTCCTGCTGGACCTGCAGGACAGCTCGGGGGGGACTGGCTGCTTGAGCAGTGCGTACTGGGGCTGTTTGCAGACTAGAGACATCTCTGCCACACAGCCCTGTCTCTGGGACAGCCAGGGCTTAGCCTCAGCCCCTCTTCATTTCCAGCTTTTGATTCCCCACAAATCACCCACGAGCCTCTGGCTACTGTAAGCAGAAGCATCTTAGGGAGTGTGATGGCTTAGATGAAATCTGTCCTTGGTCCTCAGTCCCGGGAACCCAGCGGCTGCGGTAAAGCTGCCTGCAACAGTGGAGGGCTAGGAAGGAGGCTGTGGTAGGGGGCCCTGGAGCCAACAGAGCTGGCCTGTATAGGAGCTGAGGACTCATTCACTCAGTCATTCATTCACAACACACTGAGTGCCTGCAAGGCCGGCCTGCGAGGAGGAAATAAAGAGTCCCTCATCACTAGTCCAGCCTTCCAGTACACAGTCAGGAGCAGTCACACACACGGAGCACCTTCTACCATATTTCTTTAAAACTAGTCATGAGGCACAGCTTTATTTTATGGACTAGTGAAAAAGGAAAACACTATCAACTGAACCATGCTGTACCATTGGTTATATAGAATACCCAATATCAGAGATGTGGAAATGTGGGAGAAAGTGCATCTTAGAACCGATGAACTATATATGGCTAGTCCATGTTATGTTCAAGTCACTGTGACCCAGGGCCGTGTGCAGAAAACCCCACTGGAGACTGCTATGCTGTCAGGAAAGACTTCCTGGAGGAGGTGGCATCTGGGCTGGCAGGCAGAGTGAGAGTTCCAAAGCTCGAAACAGGGGGGACCCACATGGGACAGCACCAGCAACCCCCATCCCTGCTGGGAAGCCAAGGGAGGACCGTCTTTGGGGCAGGAAGCAAGGCTGCTTCCGAGGTCCAATGCAGGGCGAGTCCCAGCCAAGCAGATCCACCAACCCCCAAATTAAAGAGCTATTGTTTTCCTCCCGTGCCTGAGCAGCCATGCCCTGCATAATTCATCCTTTCTCTGAAGGAGTCCTCAATGCATTATTAATCTGGAAGGACTCCCTCTTCTCTGTCGCTAATCTCAGCCCATCCAATATTAATGGTTATTTGCTTTGTCTTTAATGCGTGTCATGTTTCAGAGACTGGGAGGCAGCAGCGCTGCTTGGAAGGGGAGCTCTGAGAGCACCTGGCAGCCAGCCCCCCGCCCAGGCTGGGCTCCTTGAGTCCGCACGAGCACCCCCTCACACAGCCTGGGCTCCTTGAAGGCAGGAGTGCCTGGCTAGTGCGTGTCCGCAGCCTCAGCACCCCCAGCACCCCACCCTGCTGGCACAGAGCAGGTGGCTCTGCCCTTGAGCTGATGTCTGCCCTATATTTTAAAACATATTTCACTCCTTTCTCTTGGCACACCACCCCAGTGGCTGAGGCCCACGCAGTGTTCAGTCTAACTCAGGGTTTCACACCCTCACCACTACTGGCAACTGGGGCAAGGTAATTCTTTGTTGTACATGGCAGGATGTTTAGCAGTGTCCCTGGCCTCTGCTCACACGGTGCCAGTAGCAGCACCCGCCCCCAAGTTCTAAAAACCAGAAATGTGTCCTGGCTGGTGTGGGGGGAGGCAAAACTGCCCGAGGCTGAGAGCCTCCGGTCTAACTTAACCCTCGTGCTAGACTGGCTTTGTCCTCCCGGACAGAGAGAGCCGCTCTCTTCCTCTGTGTGGACACGGGGCACTTCTCAATTCCCATGAACCTGGAGCCTTCTCCTGGGGTCCAAGGAAAGCAGAGGGACAACTCTGTAACTCCTAATCTCAAAGCAGGTCAGCTGCAGGTTCTGGGGGGGCCCGGGGCCCCTGAGTCCTGACCTCATGACTACTGTGTCCACACACATGTCCCGATATGTGTGCTTCTCTGTGTCTCCACTTCCCAACCTGTCCCTCACCTTTCGGCAGCAGCCCAGTGGGGGTAAGAGGTCTCTTGTGGTCTTTGAAAGTGAAGCTTCCATCCGACTCCAGAGAGATGGAGCATGGGACCCCCAAAGCCCAGCCTCATTTTCCCCTGGCTTCTGCTTCTGTTGTCAGAGCTGACAACAGAGCATTCCCTCCCCACCCCCGCCCCCACCCCTCCCCACACCCAAAAGCCAGCTTGGCTTGCGAGGCCTTGAGTATCTTTACTAGGAAGACAAGTACTTCCAGTCCCCAAGCAAAGAAAACCCTCCTCCTCAGGCCAGCCCCCGCCTGTCTGCTCTGTGCCCCTCTAGGGAGGCTGCTTCAAAGCAGTCGAGTCCACGTGCCCCGGGAAGGCAGAAGAGGCTGAAAAGATTCCTCGACACTTGGCTTCCTTTGTGTAGCGCACACAAAGAAACCACCCTCCTCATAAAGGGATGACCTTGAGAGGGAGAGCACTTGTGTGCCGGGCCCATCCCAGGTCCCCTCCACAATGGGACTGTCATAGACGAATTCCAGCAGCCGTGGTCATGTATTACCTTTGAAAGATTTGATTTAGCCAACAGATGCAGCATTGATAGTAATCTCAGAGCAACCGGAAAAAGAGGCAGAAAAATCCACCCTGAAAAGATCCCTATATTGTTCAGCTTTCGGCTCCCATTAACTTGTGATTAATCTGTGTCTGGGGAAAACGGGACAAAGGCGAGGAAAAAGAAGCAGAGCAAACCCGGACACGGGTGCTCGTGACTTTTGCCTGAGCCTAAGCAGCAGTCACCTGCCCGCCACGGGACGAGGGACTGGCTCTGCCACCAGTGGGAGGAGGGGGCAGGGGCACGAGAAGAAGGTGCTGACAGCCTGACGATCACTGTTCCTGGGCAAGATGAGTCAGCAGTCATTCCCGCCCTCTTTTCAGAGGGATTTTGGAGTTTTTATAAAAGCGTGACAAATGACCAAATTAACAAACTAGAGATCTTGGTTTTTTAAAATAAAATCTGTAGGAACATGAAAGGAGAGAGAAAGAATTTCAGGCAGCTTTCTGGCTGTCAGAGTAAAAAGTGAAATTGGTGCCAGACACATCCCTGAGCAGCCCAAAGGCTGACAGCGGCCATGGGTGGGGAGCGGGGAGCGCAGGAGCACTCAGAAGGCAGCGTCTGCCGGTTCGCTGTGTCCCTAGCGTGCTTTCCACAGGGTGCTGTTCGCAGGAGAGCAAGGGCCCGCAAGGAGAGATTCTGTTGATGGGAAGGGCAGACGGGTGCCTGAGACCCTTCAGCATCTCCCAGGCTGGGCAGATCACCGCAGCCAGCACTGCCGCCTCTGTCGCTCCCTGGGTCCAAGCATCTCAGTCTCCACCACAGTGACTGAGCCGGTCCCTCTAAACCACAGGTGGCAAACAGAAAGCCCGCAGGCCAAATCCGGCCCTCCACCTTGTTTTATCCAGTCCGGCACCTTGTTTCTACCTGGCGGCAATGCCAAACTCCTTGCCCCTAGTTAAGGAGTAGTTATATTCATACAGTCCTAAAATTACACTCAGCCCTTTGAAGACAAGCAAAGGAGAGGCTGATGTGGGCCCCAGTGAAAATGAGCTCAACATCCCTGCGTCTAAACCAAAACCTCAAAGGAGGCCTCTGGAAAGTTGGACCTGAGAAATGCCATGCCCCAGGGCTTTGCTCAGAGTGTTGGGACAAAGAGGAGTACCCTACCCTGTCTGGCTGAGGGTCAAGGCCACCAAATGGGTCCTCCTGTTCCGTGGCACCCATGCAACCACCATTTCTCCCCTTACAGTGTGGGGCTCAGGGAAGAATTTTTCTGGAAAATTTGAGAAGAATTTCCAGATAAGGAAGTGTTTCAAACATTCATCTCTTATAAGCATTCTTCTTTTTTATAAATTTATAACTTTTATTACTTTACACATGTTTATAATAAATGCTCAGTTTGAGACTATCAGAAAACACATAGAAATTTAAAGGAAAAAAACTCAGGATCACTTACAATTTCACAACCCAGAGGGGAGCACAAAAACCATTTTGTTGTGATTTGTTCGTTCACCATCCATGTCCATATGTGTCTCTATCACTTCCTTTCATGTTTCAGGTCATGCCTTTGCATATAATTAGCTCATTTCATTTAACCTTATATCATTAAGTAGTTTGGAAAACATCGGAATGCTTCTTTAACATCCCTTCATGTGACATGTCATTATTCATTTCACCAGTGTCCTGTTGTCAGAGGCAGCATGAGGCAGTGGACAGAACACGGTCACACAGACCTGCCACTGCTTTAGCTGTGTGACCCTGGGTAAGTCGCATAACCTCCAAGTGCCATCTGTGAGACAGAGGCTCCAGTGCCTGACCCACAGGCTGCCTGATGACTGGGAATGTGCGTCCGTGTAAACTGCCTGGTGCTTCAACAGCCTGGTCACATACGAATTTTTATTTGAATTGCTTCCATTTTCCATTGTTATAAATAATGCTTCGGGGAACATATGGGTGCATAAATCTTTCCCCACAACTATGATTATTTCCTTAGAATACATTCTTAGAAATGGAATTATAAGACCAAAGGGTCTCAATATCTTTAGGAGGACTCCTGGTACACAGCCCCAGATTGTTTTCCAGAAACCTGGACCAGCATTGAACATTGTTCCTTAAAAAATTTTTTTACTGTAATGATAGAGAAAAGGTGATATCCAATTGTTATTTTGATTTGATGATTAATGAGACTAGTGAATGATCCAACATTTTACAAAATGACTATTAGCCATTTATTCTTCCTATTCAGGAACTGCCTGCCCCTGTCCATCCCTCATTCTCTGTGAGAAAACCAGGGCTCCTAGAAGAGAAATAGCCTGGCTGGGCTTCACACAATTAGTTTGTTCATTATCTCATCCACCAAATATGTGCTGAGCCTGCCCAGCATGCCAGGGCCCCTGCCGGGCGCCAGGGTACGGAACAGAGGTGAAACAGACAGGCGCTCCCCTGCGGAGCTGTCACCTGGTGGGGGAGACGGATGATAAACAAGTCAACACACACAGAAAATAATTACTTGTAGTAAAAGGACTATTCATTCCCAAATATTTAATCGGGCTGGGAATATGAGCCAGGCACGGGAAAGCCGACAGTGTGACCCAGGGAGACGAACCCCACGTCCCGGTGGAACTTAGCAGAGCTAAGGCCTGCACCCAGGCTCTTCCTGCCAGCCCAGGGCACGCTTCTTTCAACCGCATCCCTGCAGGCGACGCCGGTGCGGCGAGGCAGGTAACGCAGGGAATCTAAGAAGCTCATCTCTACCATCCAGCATCTTCTCCGGAGTGTTAGCTTCTGTCCTCCCAGAAGGAGATGCCAGGTGCGAGGGATTTGCCAGGCGACAGCTGTGGTGGGGCGTGGGGAGGGGACTGGGTAGGCTGAGAGAGCATCAGACGGCAACGCAGTTCTGACCCGTGTGGAGGAGAGCAGGAGTCGAGGAAGACTGAGGGGAAAGTCCTGGCCTGCAGCACAGTTCTAAGAAAGTTTGGTGAGGTGGGAAATCTTTAACCCAAAATTGCCCATAGTGGAGCCCCAGATCTGCCAAGAACGGGCTCTGACTGTACTCTCCCTGCTGGGCTCCAGCTGGGGGCAGCCCAGGGAAAGCGTGGCCTCTGAGCGAGTGCAGTACGGGTTTCAGACACAACAGCTGGGGCCATCGGTCAGCTACACACCTGCAGACGCTCTGAGAAATACCCAGTCTCCACATCCCACATCCCCTCTGGTCCTGAATGGATATTGCCTGTCGCATAAGACCTCTGCCAGCCAGAGGTCACTCGTTCTCCAGAGGTCATGACAAGCAGCTCCTGCCTCCATCCCAGTGGTCCTTTCTCTGACCTAGGCAGACAGGGGATGGAGACAAGGCCCATCACTCTTGGGAGCCCTGGCAAAGCACAGGCAGAGGGTGCCCCTCCCGGGTGGACACTGCCACAGAGGGGAGGCCCCCTCCACCCTGAGGTCTCGTTTTAACTCAGCAAATGTTCACTGAGTACCTTCAACATGCCTCTGGGTCTCACGACAACCCTCTCGTGGCTGCCCCCATGCCAGGCATCTGTCTTGGAGTGCAGAGTAGGTGAAGATCTGGACCCCATAATCCATAAGAGAAGAAACTGAAGAGACTAGCTTCTGTTTTCTTCAGGAATAAAAAAATCTCTGCATATTTTTATTATAAAGAGCACTTGTTCGGAGACCTGTATTCTAATCCTGAGTTTACCACTTCCTTGCTATGTGACTTTAAGCAAATTATATAGCCATCATGAGCCTCAGTTTCCTGGGGACGGTAAGACCGCCTGGCCTCGGGGTCGTCTGACGAACAACTGAGGCATTAAGACTCGATGTGGGCAGAGGGTGGGATGTGCCCTAGTCCCTGACCAGACTGTCCTCTCTCGCTCTCATCTGCTCAGCTGCCACCCGGTAACCGGAGCTTGCACCTGCCAGCCGGGCTGGTCTGGCCACCATTGCAACGAGTCCTGCCCTGCCGGCTACTATGGCGATGGCTGCCAGATGCCTTGCACCTGCCAGAACGGCGCCGACTGCCACAGTGTCACTGGAAGCTGCACTTGTGCCCCAGGCTTCATGGTAAGAGGGGAGGGATCTCCCGGGGCCCCGGGGCCCCCCCACCTACACAGGAGAGGAGGGACCGGCTCCTAATTCCTCCCAGTGGAACAACTTCTTGACTTTACAATGGTGTAAAAGCGATAGGCACTTAGTAGAGACTCTACTTTTGGAATTTTGATCTTCCCCTGGGCTAGTGATAGGCTCCACGATACTCTCTCGGGATGCTGGGCAGTGACAGTGCGGTGATTTGGCCGGCTGTAGACTGTGGTGAGCATTCTGCGCACGTGTCAAGGAGGCCAGTTCAAGCCACGACGTTTGGTAGGCTATGGGCCTTAAATGCATCTTTGACCTCGAATCTTTTCAATTTACACTGGGTCTATCAAGACACCACCCCATTGTAAGTCAGGGAACATCTGGAGTTTTACATCATAATGACCACAGCACACATGGGCAGTTTAGAATTCTGCTTTTTTTCACCCACATTTGCTGCTTGGGCTTCTTAATGATCATTTTAAACGGCTGCACAACACTGTGGGAGCTGAGCACCCCCGGTCTGCTCAGCCGGCCCTTCCCGACGAACGCCCGCCGAGTTGGGCCCAGTGTTCCCAGCAGGGCTGCAGTGAGCGTCTCCCTCCCACGGCTTTTCCCGCCGCTGAATGATTTCCTTCGAGTGGGTTCCCAGGGGCAGTGGGCATCATTATTTATGGCTCTTGGTGGATGTTGCCGTAATACTTCCCTCAAGGGTTATATAAATCTATACTGCCACCAGCTGTGTATGAGTGTACCTATTTCAAAACAACTGTGCTAACATTCTTTTTTTAGTTTTGCTTATTATATAGGTAGAAAATGGCTCCTCAATGTTGCTCTCATTTGCATTTCTTTGATTACTAAGGAGAGTGTTCATATACTATTTGTATTTCCTCATGAGTTATTCTGGTCTTTATGAGGTTCAATTCTAAGGAACTCGACATTGGAAGTGAAATCCTGTTCGAAGGTGGGGTGTACCCACGGGTCCCCTGGGGCCATGTGTTTAATTACGCTGCAGGAAGTGGTCTGTGCAGCAGCAAGTACGGTCTTGGGACCGTACAGTGCAGACAAACTGGATGAGAGTTAGCTCCAGAGGCATCTGCAAAAGAGAGAAGTCTGTTTCTCCTGCAGATTCTGAGTCTAATTTTCCTGTATTGATGTGAGCTTTGTCCATAAGTTCCAGAGCAAAATGAGGTACGCTGGCTTTGGGGTTTGGGTAAGAGTTGATGGGGATGGAAATCCCACACAGGTCAGGTGACTGCAGCGCAAGGGACCAACCACACCTGACTGCTAGTGGGGCATCCTGGCCACTAGGGTGGGTCTATGACTCTGGGCACGTTCAGGCCCCAGCACCTCCATCTGTACACAATGAGTTTGTAGAGGGAGAGGAACTGACTTCTCAGATAGGCTCCTATGCAGACTCCATGGACCAAGACAGGAGACACACCCTACTGGTAGAAATGAGGTAAAGTAGGAGCAAGGAGATGTGAGTGTGTTTGTGTGTTTGTGTTGTGTGTGTTTGAGGGGTCATTGAGGCTATTATGGTCTGACTGTGTACATTGCCTGTGGGCCTACTGGGAGTCCCACCTCCCCGTTCCCCCCCTTACCTCCAGCTGTCTGCCTGGTCACCGCTCCTCAAATGAAGGGAAACTGGGACGCCGGGAGAGCCTAAGGAGGCTGGTGTCTGTGTGCCCACTGCCCCCAGGCTGCAGTGCCAACAGTCTGGAGGCCAGGCTACTGCCTGTCTTCCACCCCTCTGGGCTGCAAATGACTTCATGCCTTTGAACTTTGGGGGCCTTGGAACTTACAGAAATCATCTCGCTCTGGAGTCCCCCCTGCCTGGGGCTTGGGGCTAAGACAGATTGTAAGCCAGCCTCCCCTGGTGAGCCCCACACATTTCCATCCATCTCCCACGACCAGCCTCATTACACGCAGGAAGGCTTTCCTGGGCCCGGCCGGGCGTTGGGCAGGAGCCGCTGGAGGTGATTACAGAAGAGTCAGAGTTCTCATCCTGTGAGACTCATTCCCGCACGCACCGTTCTCTGAGGGGGAGTCATTACTGTTGCCCTCACCCCAGCTTCGGAATGAATGGGGCTTCCTGCAAGGAGCTGGCTCTGGTGCGGGTGGGAGTGGGGCAATCAGCACAGCAGACTTGGCTGAGGCCCTCCCCAAATGTCCCACACTCAGTAGTAATGATCACTGCCTTTAATTATTGTTTGACTTGTGAATATATGTACCTGCCTTCTTTCTTAAAGATTTTTAGGATGAGCAGTTAATTAGAAACTAATTAAAAGAACCCTTTTCTGAGTGTTTGAAGACCTTGATCCTAGGCTCAGTAACCTTGAACATGTCCCTTCATCTTGCTGGGCCTCAGTTTCCTCACCTATAAGATGGGCATCACATCAGCCCTGCCTGCTATTGGATGTGGACAGCCAACAGGGTATTGGATGTCAGGCCACGTCCTCAGCTATCCCCTCCCACCGGAGCTCGCCCTGCCAAGGGCTCTGTAAGAGAGCTATTGGGAGAGCTCTATGAAAGCGGTCTCTGAAGGCTGACAGTGGTCTTAGGCTCCACGTAAACGTGAAAGGTGCTGATGAAGTAGTATGGAACCACCCCTGGGAGGCAGCCCAGTGACACACCTACTCTGGCCCTCGAGCCCACAAGAATATGGAGCAGAAGCAAGTCCCACTGGCACGGGGTCCCAAAGCCAGTAGCAGTGAGAGCCACCGAACTGTCACATGTTAGATAACTGGCTTTGATTGACAGGTCACTATGGAACCACACAAATCTGAGATCATGTTCTGGCCCTTCACTTCCCGCCCCACCCACAGGGAAGTCACTAATCCTGCTGAAGCCTGAATTTCCTCACCTGTGGAGAGGGGAGTTGGCCATGAGAGTGAGAAACTTCATGTGGAAAGTTTATGGCTCAGTGCCTGGAACACAGTAGAGAGCCCATAAGAGTGATGGTGATTATCAGTGAACTGTGAGAGCCATGGGGGAACAGAGCTTCCCCAGGCCCAGCACCCTTCTCCAGGAGAGTGTGAGGATGAGCTACACCCAGGGGACCCCAAGGAACAAAGCCATGAACATGCACTGCTACTGTCCTGGGCAGATCTACCCCAGCACCCTAAATGGTCAGTCTCGGGAGGCACTCTGGGGTGGACACACCCATCAGTGTTTGAGGAAATGGACAGAGATGGAGCGGGAGAGACTCCGGGCGTTTGATATGTTAGCCCGACCGCACGGATGGAATCACTGGGGCGTGCATTGCTGAGTCATACTGGGGCTGCTGGCCGGCAAAAAAGAGCCCCAGGCATTGTTTCAGAACCGTGGACAGGCTGCCCAGGCCCCGTTGGACCCCAGAGTCCCCAGCTGGTCAGAACGCCAGGGTGAACCAGGGTGGGCAGGGTAGGGAAGGAAGAAGGGGTGGCAGGGGACTCCGTCCGGCAGAGTCCTGAGAGTGTCCATGTGAGGAATGATCCAGAAAGTGAGGACCTTCCCTCCCAGCCACCAGGGAGTAGCTGCATTGTGGTGATTAGAGTCACATCACCCCTCTCCACAGCTTCTCATATCCACTAAGTAAAGCTCAAACCCCAGGCCTTTTGTAACCCCCCTCAAAACTAGTGACTTTAGCCCTGGTTGGTGTGGCTCATTTGGTTGAAGCAACGTCCTGTAACCGAAAGGTTGCAAGTTTGATTCCCGGTTGGGGCACATGCTCAGGTTGTGGGTTGGGTCCTTGGTCTGGGTGCGTACAGTGGTCGGGAAACGATTGAGCGGTGTTTCTCTCTCTCCCTTCCTCTCTCTCTCCCTCTCTCCCTTCCACTCTCTCTAAAAAGCAATGAAAAATCACCCTCCAGTGAGGATTAAAAACAGCAACTAGTGAGTTTACCCCAACCTCATCTGCTAAGTCCTGCCACAACCTCCAGTGTAGCCCCTACAGAACTCACCTGTTCCTAAGCACAGTGTCTGTTTTTGTGCTTCAGCTGTGCCTTTTCTCAAACTTTTTGCTCTCCCTAAAAAGCCCACACCCGCTATTCTTATCCCAGTCTACAAAATCCTCCTCCACCTTTCAGGTTGAGATCAAAGGCTGCCTCCTCCAGGAAGTCTTCCCTGAATACTCCTCCCTTCAAAATTAACCCCTCCATCTTCTCTTCTCCCACAAAACATGGTTCATACTCAGAGCCTGTCTCCCTCCAACTCTGCACCTCCCACTGCCTGCCTCCATGCCTACCATGTGAGGATATTGCTCAATATATATATTTTGGAATTAATTAAATTCTTAGGAAGAGCAATGCCCTTAAAGCAGAAGTTTCCAGAACTGACCTTTATAGGAACAAAACTTATTGCCCTTCTCAGTGTGCCCTGCCAACAGGGCTGGGGCTCGAATCTAGCCACCAGCGTCTCTGCCCGCATCCGCCCTGGCTTCTCTGGGTAAATGGTGTGAGCAGCCACCTCAGGCGGCACTGTAGAGTGAGTGGTGTTGAGGAGACTCCGGAGCAATATTCCCTGCCTTCAAATACTAGCTCTGCTGCTTACTAGCTGTGGGGCCGTGGGCAAGATGCTTTCCCTCTCTGCGCCTCTGCTTTCTCCTGTGTGAGAGGGGAGTGATAAGGAAGTCCATCAGATTATCAAACTGATTAAATTAATTGGTACCCATGAAATATTTGGTCATCTCTCAACAAGTGCCAGCTATTATTGTCATCATTAGCGCCGCTGCTGCCGCTGCTATTGTTGTTATTTGCCCCAAGGGTTCCCCCTCCTGAAGAGGCTGACCAGTCCCGGCCTAAGTGCCCTGTTTGAGGGTACAGGTCAAAAAGGGGGTGAGAGGAAGAGAGCAGAGTTCGTTGAAACTTCCTCCTGGCTGGGAATTGCAGGATCCCCAAGGGCTCCTGGGTCCCCAAGGGCAGCTACTGAACCAAGAATAGACTTCCTCATCACAGGGCGAGAAGACCAGTTTCTCAGCTCCACTGCGCTCCTGCGCTGGCCACCTTTCC